TATATATATATATATATATATATATATCTAAGAGGTTAAACACTTGAACATGTGAACTTTTTTATCTCAAAGTATTTAAACTATTTACATTAATTAAATAAAATATGTAATGTTTAATAATAAAATTAACAAACTAAAAAAATATATAAATAGGTATAAATAATAATTAAAATAAGATCAACAAACATCTGAAAATTTTTTTAAAATTAATTCCAAATAAATTCTTAAAAAAAAGTTTTATATTTTTTTATTAATATAAATTTTAATAAAAAAATTTCACAGATGTTTATTAATTTTTTTCTTAAATTATTATATACTTATTACTTGCAGCGTTGCAAATTACTGATATAGACATTTAATATTTGATTTAATTTAATTAAAATTGCGAAACGTAGCGCAGAAACTTCGAGAATATAACTTGCAATTACATTAACTATATATGCATGTAAAAATTTTATGAATATACATACTATAGATTATCAACAGCACATAATATGGCGCCTTGGCGCGATTATAGGTTCCCACGTGACCGAATAACAGTGTAGTGTATTTATTGCATGTGCGTTGCTTGTAATTTGCAGAGCTAATAATTTTTTACAACAAAAAAATTAAATCAGTACATAATTAATAAAGTACAAATATAAAAAATAAAAAATTAACAATGAAGACCCCAGATAAAGATAATGGCGATAATTCAGAACAAACAATTATTTATTTAAATGAATTGTGCCGACTGTGCTTGGCTAGAAAGAAAACAATGGTGCCGATTTACGATGGACATAAAGAAGATGTTCCTATTCCTGTTAAATTAATGGCTTGCGTTAATTTAGAGGTAATTAATTTATAATTTTTTTATTTTTTATTTTAATATATGCTAATAAATTTTTTTCTTTTTATTATTTTTATTTTATTATATTGATACATTTGTTTTTTTTTTGAGGTTAGAGAGAAAAGCAGAGAACTCTAGTTTATCTTTGCTGGATTTTATTTATCGTGTATGATACATAAATTTAAGAAACATTTGATAATTTTATGAAGATCCAAGTATAGCCGATACAAAAATTTTTATTATTAAAAAAATTGAAAGAAGAATGTTTAGATGTACAAGATTTGAAAAATTACACGTGCAATTTTTTATGAAAACTAGAATTAAGCTAGCTGACATTTAAAAATTAATTTTAAAAATATGAAAAATAAAATTTTGCTTCATCAAGTAATGACTTTTGTTGAATTGCACTGTACTTTCTTAACTATTGACATTTTCAAAGATATAAGTTCATTCTGATGTTACACTCATCAATAGCTTTCATTTGAGTAGCCACATGCATTTTTGATATATTTTTTATATATACATATTTATAAATATATACAAATATATAAAATATATAAAAAATTGATGTGGGTACTCAAATGAAAGGTCTCGACGAGTGTAACTCTAGGATGAGCTTATATCGTTAAAAATACCATTAGTTGACAAGATAACAATGTCAGTTCTTTATTATTGACATTTTTAAAGATATAAGCTCATCCCGATGTTACACTCATCAAGAGCTTTAATTTGAGTACCCATATGCATTTTTGATATATTTTTCATATATACATATATATAAATATAT